TGTGCCAACTACAGGTAGTCCTCAACGTACAGCTACAATCAAGCCCAACATTTATGTTGCCGAGAAATTTGTTAATTTTATGACTTTTCTATTTGTTAATTGTCGAATCACTGCAGTTGTTAAATGAGTAACATGGTGGTTAAATGAATCTGGCTTCCCCAGTGAATTTGCTTGCCAGAAGTTCACAAAAGATGAACCTGGGACACTGCAGCCGTCATAAATGGGAGTCAGTTGTCAAGCATCCAAATGTAAATCATGTGACTATGGGGATACTGCTACAGTCATAAGTATGAAAAGTAATGTCATCTTTTTCAGTGCTTGAACGGTCATTAAGAGACCTGTTGTAAGTTGAGGACTACCTGCATTAACTTCAATGGGAAACCCTTCCTTATAAGAGAGATATAACTTCTAGGGATAAGTATTGCTACTAAGGCAGGAGATGCTTTTGATTTCTTGTGATGTCAAAAGTGAGAAAACTGAAAGAGTGAATTGGCTTAGGCCCTATCTTCCCCAAAGTAGCCAGGGTTTGTAGTGGAAATGATAAATGGGAACTATTTATCATTTCTTTCTAAGCTGTCATAAAGTCTGATCAAGTTGTGGATTTGTAATTATAGGGGGTCTCCACTTACAACCATTCATTTAGTGTCCCTTCAAGTTTAAAACAGCACTGAAAATGTGACTTGTGAGCAGTTTCCACACCTATGACCATCGAAGCATCCTCATGGCCATATGACCAAAAATTCAACTGGCATGTATTTATTGTCCTGGTGTCATTTGCTCACCATCTGTGTAACCTTCCCAGCAGGCTTCCAACAAGCAGTCAATAAAAGAAGCCAGATTCGCTTAATGACTGCATGATTCACTTAACAGTGATTTGCTTAACACTGAGGCACAAAAGATGGTAAAATGGGGCAAAAGTCACTTAACAACTGCCTCACTTAGCAATGGAAATTTAGGACTATTATGGCCATAAGTTGAGAACTACCTATAGTAGGCTTACGTAGATGTGTGGCCATACTTGGATTTTCTTCTGTGAGAAAGCTTTCATGTGCCGCCAAGTTGCACATTGGGTTTCAAAACAAAATCTGAATCCATGAGGGTCTTTCTTGACGCTGAATGGCCATAGGTCCAGGAAGTCTGACCTCATGTGCTCTGAGTATCTTTGGCTCTATTTGCTAAGTGCCTTCCTAAGCAAAAGTTCTAAAGATCCCAGTTCTGCAGTGGGAATGGTCAAAACAAAGGAGCATGGGCCAGGAAAAAGCAGAAAACATTATTTTCACAGTACATTTTATGGGTATAGGGGACTGATTAAAATAACTAACTAATATATGTACCTATTGCAACACCAAACGAAGGTGCAGATTTAAAAAAATCTCATTTAAAATTTTTCCACATGAATAATAAGTATTTGGATACAATATGCTGGCAATATTTTCAGAGGACGATCAACATTTTGTTAGCACATATTCCACACAATTATAAGGATGCCACATGCAATGAGTTTCCACTGATATTAATTCAGGACCTACATGCTTAAATGCAGTGGATTCCTTGGGAACACAATGCAATCAGGAATTAAAGAGGCAAAACACCAAAGGAACAGAGGGCAACACCTGCGCCAAAGGGAGGGGCTTTTCCACAAAAACAAAATTAAAATATTTTTTTTAAAAAAATATTATATTTTTACTTAGCTAGTAATTTAATCAGTACAATTTTTCATATCACTTTCATGGATGTAGTTTATGGCAGTGTTTTTCAACCTGGGCCCCTTTAAGATGTGTGGATTTCAACTCCCAGAATTCCTCAGCCAGGATCTCTAGCTCGAGAATTCTGGGAGTTCACACATCTTAAAGGGGCCCCAGTTGAGAAACACTGATGTATGGTAAACTGCAATCAAATGGACATGTTGCACTTAAACCTGCAAAATTCTTAATCCCAACTAATGAAAAAAGTGTGTAGCCTTCTGGAAGTTTCCACTTTATCTGGCTGAAAGTTTCATGTGGAAAGTTACATCTGCTGAATTTCTCTCTGTTCTATTTGAAGTGTATACATGCATGGATATCCCTGAAATCATGAAATACAGGTAGTCCTCGACTTACAACCACAATCGAGCCCAACATTTCTGTTGCTAAGTGAGACAGTTGTTCAGTGAATTTTGCCCCATTTTACGATCTTTCCTGGAACAGCTGTTAAGTGAATCACTGGATTTGTTAAGTTACTAACATGGTAGTTAAGTGAATCTGGCTTCCCCATTGACTTTGCTCATCAGAAGGTCACAAAAGGTGATCACATGACTTTGGGATACCGCAACCGTCATAAATATGAACCAGTTGCCAAGCATCTGAATTTTGATCACGCAACCATGGGGATGCTGCAACGGTCGTGTGAAAAATGATGATAAGTCACTTTTTCAGTGCTGTTGTAACTTTGAACACTAAATGAACTATTGTAAGTCGAGGACTACGTGTACAAAAAATCTGTTGTAGAAATGAATGTGACAATCTTGGTTGTTCTTTTAAACTAGCCACACCCCACAGTTATCTATTAGATACACCAGACTTCAGCATTCAGAATTCCAAATAATGATCAATAGAAAACTCAGGGAGGCAAAAGGCCAAAGAAGCTTGTTTTATTCTATTAACACAGATTTGATTTAAATTTAAGGCAATATCAGGAATAGTTTTGGGCTTCAACAAAAAAAAAGACCATTGATGATAAAAAAGAGAAATAAAACTGACGTGACATCTATTGATTTGGGGTATTTAAAATTATTTAATTTTTCATTTCTACCATTAAATCACACTTCTACCTAAAACTAAGAAAGCTTATACCAGATCAAGAGCTCAAATTACAAAATTCAAAAGTGTGTTGCTAACTGTTATTTTGCTTGCCCTTTGTGTAAGCTGATTGGTTTGAAACTATTAACCATAACTTCCCAGTTTTGACCTAAGTGAATGACTGTATTAATTTATTAAACATATATCTTATAAGACTGAATAATGTTACACGAATGAGATAAAGTTGGTAGATTATATTTAGATTTGTGGTTGCTGAAGTCACAGCTACTTTTTACAAGTTACCAATTTTTGTATTGGATCATAATGTAATTTGAAAAGTAATAGAGACATTGAAATTATGCATCACATAATCAAAGCAAATACATTTACTCAATGGGGTACTTGAAACCCGTGCTCTTACTGGGCATTTGGGAACTAAGTGTTAATCTGAATTCATTTGGTTTTTGTTTCAGTTTTGTACAAGAGACAAGTATATACAATTCATAAATAAATACTTGTTATGTGTTATGATATGAGTAAACTTATGCATTTTTGCATTCTTAAACATTGTAACTTAAATCGACCCCTGTGTTGGGGGTAAGAACATGGTAGGAAGAAATGATATTCTAAGTCAATATAGATGAGAAATAAAATTAACACAAATAACAAACTGACAATGGTAAAAATGGTTCATTCCCCAAAGGACCTCATTAGTGTCATAATCCATGCACTACCTAAATTGTCTAAAATGACCACAACAGTTTTACTAATACTTTTTGGTTAATTAATTCAGATCAATCAATAGCAGACAGCAACAGATACCCACAACTAGCATATGCGGGCAAAGCATTGGCAAGAGGCATCAAACCAATCTATTAGTCTTTTTTACTAGCTAAAACATTACCTACCTCCCAGCCAGTACTCTGTATAATAAAAAAAGTAAAAAAAAGTATGTAATAGAAACAAATGCAGAACTTTCTTGACATGCCATCAACAATAAAGCAGTATACATCTACAATGGTTTAATGATTTTTATGGGCCACATATTTACATTTGCAGTTGTTTTTTTCATTTCACCAGAAGAAACCTCATATGGGAAAGAAGAACCTATGGGAATAAGATATTTTTTCTGAATGCATTGAAGGCTAACTCTGTAGAGGATGTGACCATGCATGTCTGCCTACTATATAGATGTTCTATTCTAACTATCTGTTCCTTTCTCTTTATTGTGAAATTTGAAGGGGAATGTGATAAAGAAAATACCCAATATAAAGGGGTTTAAAAGGTTTAATGGAAGGAGTACAGGGATTACATCCCTGGGCTCCATTGCATTGGCAGTTATACACAAACTCCTGGCCCATACATATACATAATGTGTTTGTATGTGTGTGTGCCCAATTCTTCTTCTTTTTTATTTTATTATAAAGATCTGAGAATCAAATGAGAATATGAAACCTCTCTTACCACTGCAACATATTCACCATTTCAGCCTGGGAGTCAAATGTCAAATTAGAGAAATCCAAACTTTGTACATGAGTGATGCAATAATTTTTATGCAGTGTTTGTTTTGCAATGCTGGTACAGGCAATTCTTGACTTATAACCGATCATTTTACAACCATTTGTATTTACGATGGCCTCAGAACCGATGATTTACAACCTGTAAAACGCCTCCAAGTCATTGTAAATAGTGAGGCCCTCATCCCCCCCCCCCCCCCCCGTGGCTACAGGATTGCATTTCAGGTGCTTAGCAACCTGTTCACATTTGTCATCTGTTGTCAAGTGGCCTGCAATCATGTGATCGTCATTTGCAATCTTCTCTGCTGGCTTCCCCAGAAAGTGAATGGTGAAGTCAGAAGAAGACAGCAGAGAAGATTGCAAGCAGAGGATGGAGGATTTGAGGTTTGTTTCCCCAGTGCACTGAGGGATTTCCCCTCTTCTCCTGGCAAGGAAGAAAAATCCTCCACTGGAGGGAGGATTCCTCACTGGAGAGACAGATCTTGAATCTGGCAAAATAACTACTAAATGCCTACTACCATTTGGGGAGGGGCGAACACCAGGCTCAGAAGGTTGGCCTTTGCTAGCAGCATTAAGGGAAGGAAAAACTCCAATGAATCCCAGCCTTCTAGAAGGCTGAAGCAGACTTCATATCTGGCCAATGTTTTAGTGAAAGCGATCATTCAAGAAGACCCTTTCTTCAAAATGTCTGATTTGGAGAAGGAGCCTTCTGTATCATTGTGAGAATGGGACTGACTTGAAAGATGGAATAGGGGGCCTTGAAAATCAGGAGCTGCAGAATAATACTAAGGTAAGTGGATCTGGACCTGGTCAGGAAGGGAAAGGACCCAAGTCTCCCATGAGTGTGGAGGGATACCCCAGCCCCCTCACCGCCCCATCGCACCCAAAGGGCACTCCACTTAATGACAGCAACTGAAAGATCTGGGATTGCGGTGGTTAACAAACACTTTGCTCAACAACCGAGATTCTGGGCCCAAATGCAATAGTAAGTGGAGGATTATCTAGTCCTCCACTTATGACCACAACCAGGACTAGAAAAATTTGTTGTTAAGCAGTGCAGTCATTAAAAGAGGCATCACCTGATTTTATGACTTTTTGCCATGGTCATTAAGCGAATCACCCATAATTGATTAAGTGAGGCACTGTGTGACTGTGACTTGCAACCTCCTGCTGGCTTCCCCATTGATTTTGTTTGTGGGAGCTTGGATGGGAAAGTCACAAAGGTCGAACATATGCCTGGAGGATGCAGCAACTGTCTTAAGTGGGAACTAACTGCCATGGGCCAGAATTGTGGTCAAATGTCTGCCGGGATGCTGCAATGATCACTAGGGGTTATAAGTCACATTTTTTTACCATTGTCGTAACTTTGAATCATCACTAAATGAATGGCCGAATTGAGGGCTACCTATGAGATTCAAGTTTCAGAGAATATTAATACATGAATCAAAATAAAGTTTATTTTCTACACATGCTCGTTTTTTAAAAATTTCTTAATCATCACAAATTTTCTTCAAATTATATAAATGCTATTTACAGTACTGTATATTATCTATATGGACCAAAGACCTAAGAAATAGCAAAGTGGCATCTAAAAATATAGGCAGTACCAAGCAAGGTGGGTTTTTCTTTTTTAGTAAAATTCAGGTGTTCAAGTCCAATAAATTCAAAATTTCCAAATATTGGGAGAGTCCTTTAGGTATTGCTCCAGGCAGTCCAGTCACGTTTTCATTATATAACGTTTTCATTAGTATTTAATCTGCAAGTCATATATTTCATAATTTTTTCAGATTGATTTTCTTCAATCCTAGCATCACCCAGGATAGCAACATCAATGACCCAGACTCCCTTCATTTCAATAAATCAGGATATTACAACCAATGTGCTTTTCTGTTTGGATTTTAAAGTCCCATAAGATCTCAACCCATTCATTTTTCAAAACCTTCTCAGCTTGACAGTCCCAATAGTTCTTGCTATTTTCAAATCCAAACCTCTTGATTATTATGGTTATAGTTATTTCTTTTACTTCAAGTCTTGTTCCAAATGCATGTAAAAAGGTAAGCCTTGAACAAACTTACTCATGTCATCCAAGGTTAAAATTAGTGCCAATGCAAAACCAAATCAGAAGGAAACACAGCATTGGAGTTGACTCTGGACCAGAAAGGCACTAGGGGAGTGTTACATGTCTCGTAACCAAGAAACCAGCAAATTTTTCAAGTAGCCCGCAATCAGAGTTTACTCTCTAACCTTTTGGAAAGGGAAAATTATTTGCAATGGAACATTCTCAATAGTGAATACATCAAGATCAATTATGTTGATATAATAGCTTCTAGAACAGATTTAATGGTTAGTAAGTTCTACAAATCCTATTTGTAATATTCGTGTTTTAAAGATAGTAGAACAATTACATTAAAATAGTCTAGTTTTACGTTTAGCTTACCATGTTTCCCCGAAAATATGGCAAAGTCTTATTTTCTTTTGACCCCCATAATAAGGGCTTGGTCTTATTATCGGGGTGGGGGGCAGGGCAGCGGGCTTATTTTCTGGCAGGTGGTAGCTGGGGTGGGCGGGAAGCGGGACACGTGTCTTACCTTTCCAGCTCTGTCACATTCCTCGCTGTTGTTTCCAGGGAAACATGTTGTAAAAAAAACCTTCTTGCGAGTTCAAACTTCTCGAACTCGTGAGGTTTTTTTACCTGTTTCCCTGGACTCAACGGCGAAGAATGTGACAGAACTGCCAGTGTCCGGTAAGACATGTGTCTCGCGCTGGGACACAATTTGGGTAGTAGCAGGTGGGGCAGGGGATGGGGCGTGGCAGGCCTGGAGATGCGCTTCTTACCGGACACTGGCAGCTGTCATGTCTCTCGGCCGGTTTGTACAGGGAAACATCTTGTACGGTAAAGAAAAACTTCTCATCAGTGCAAACAATTAAGAACTTTTCAAACTCATGAGAAGTTTTTTTTTTAACCATGTGTTTCCCTGCACAGACCAGCGAAGAGAAGATGCGATGAAGCTGTCCGTGTCCAGAAGATGCGCGTCTTGTGCTGGGTTGCAATTTGGAGGGTGGCACAGGGGGCGCAAAGCGTGGCGGGTGCTCTTTTTGCTGGAGATGCTCTTCTTGCTGCATTTTTGGGGGTGGGCTAATTTGGGGGGGCTTATTTTAGCCCATGCCCTGAAACGTACGATTGGGCTTAATATCAGGACATGTCCTATTTTCGGGAAACATGGTTACAAACCAGGCCTTATCATAGTCTGCTGATTTTATGATGCAAAATTCTCTTTGCTTTGGCCATGTCATAAAACGCTTACTAGCTATTGCTATAGTTTTTAGCAACAGGATGCCATCCAGTTCTCTACATCCAAGGATACAGCCATCTACATTCCCACCATCAGTACAATGCAGGACACAGTTTGGATAAACAAGGCATCAGCTGCAGGACCTAAAACTAGCTACTTGCCAATCAAGTGCATCGAGCACTCAAGTTACTGAGTTTGGGAGCTCCAGCATAGTTGCAAGTGTGTAGTGGTTTGTGTTTTTCCTGACAGTTGATAAACTTTCAGTTGTTTTTTGTTTTAATGTCATTCTTCGTTTTTGTTTGTTCACCATCCAGAGTTTCTTGGATAGTTGGGTTATATAAACTGGACAAATAAATAAATACATGACTAAAACCTAATGGGGAAAATGGCACACCTAATAATTGCACTCAATTCTTTCACGTTTTGTGGAGTCAGCTTTCTGTTTGTACAGTACGCACAGAATAGAATGTACCAATGGACACAATAATTACCACCTGACTTAAGTAGGTGGCTCTAGAAAAAAATAATAGAAGACAGTACTATTAGAAGAACTATTTAGCCATTGTTTTGCCACCCAAGCTGATTGCACACTTTGTAATACAACCCATGGACATCTGTTCTCACAAAGTGCATTGGTCCAATAGAAAATTGGGCTGATATATTTTGCCACTTTCTTGTCATAGATCCCAAAGGCATTACCTGATGAACTATCTTGCTGAATGCATCCTGGAGTTTACCATGAATTGTGGCCAGTTTGTTGGCGTCTCTGTTAGCTTCATGAATTGGAATAAGGATTTTGTAAACCTCGTTGACCGCTTCGTACATACCAGCCTACAAAAGACTACATGTCAGTTGGATCTACTGCTTCACCAAGAAAATAAACATCCTAAGTGCAGCACATGATAAAAATGCTTCATTAGGACAAAGAAACTGAAAAGATCATTTGCTATACTTTCATTACTATAAGAGAATGTAATCTAGAGCACAGAATAATTCTGAGTGTTCCTTTTTATACATTCCATGAAAAGGCATCTAGGTATCTATCAGCCATTTCCCTCTGTCCACTGCCTTTTGGAGGATTGAAAAAATAGCCCCATTATTTGCATAAACAAAACGTAAATGCCCTCCTTGTCTTCCAAATTTCTTTCACTTGCAATCTAAAGAAGACTTCAAAGGAATCCCGTTGCTGAACTAAAAGGCTAAAAGGCTTAATAGCAAATTTTGAGCACATGTTACAGTTGCATCTTGGCTAACTAAAAGTGTTTGAAAACTAACTTTGGTTACTCTCTCAATAGCACAAAACATGTCATCTTATCCACATACAATCCAGTCAATATTCCTTTCAGTCCTATTCCATTTCAGTTCAGTTAAGCAACTGAAATGTAAACCCACTGTTAGAGATGTTTTATGTTCATGTTTACCTCTGAATGCTCAGTGCTTTCAAATATTTATATCACATACCAGGGGTCCCCAACTTGTGGGCTATGGCCCACTAGTGGGCCGTGAGGGGACTGTAATAGGGCCACGGAAATGGCTGGCGAGCACATGCACACACACATGCATCCTCACTTGCATGAGCAGTGGGCAAGCATGTGTGCTCCATTTGTGTGAGCAGCAGGCACGCATGCACTCTGCTTGTGCAAATGGAGCTGCAAGCATGCACGCTTGCCAGCTGCTTCTGTGGGACCATCCCTTCTCCCCTAACCCGCTGGTTTGCAGAGCCAGAAACATCAGGGAACTCTGATCTATTCTAGGTAGCTAACAGGAATTATCAGACAAAATACAGAAAGTATGAAATTTTTCTACCATGGAAAAACAGGCTGCAGCTTGCTCCAGTAGTCCAACCAGACCTGCTTCTGTAAAATACTTTCCAGAACATATCCCTTCTTCATCTGGAGATACCACATCATCAGAAACTGCAGATTCTTCTAGAACATTTGAAGAAACATTCTGAGGAAATATAAAACAATTACTTCTATTAATGCCAATATGCAAATCTCCTGACCAAAGCACTAAATCTTTTCTTTGGTGTGCAATTATATTCTAGTATAATGGGACTATTCCTGTAATAAAAACCATATTCCCTTTTCTGGTTTATCAGAGAAAGTCTCCATAGACAGTGAAAATTAAGAAAAAATATTACAATGATGGCCAGATTATTCTGTTTTGTAAAGCAATTAGCTTAGATCAATGTAGATTAATACTCATTCATGGCGGGCATAGAGTTAAATATATACAGATTGTGGCAACACACAATTTGTGATAATTCTTACATAACTTTACCCAAACCTTGAATCTCCGAACTTTCTCCTACTTGCTGTAACTTCCTTTGGGACTGATGCAATCATTCTGTGGGCTTCATTTAACATAGTACCAGCATTTCCTGGTATTTTTCATTACTGGCACAACAGCTACAATTCCAATAGTTTATCTTTCTGTATTGGAGGTTCTTTGAATTTTGTCAAAATAGTCAGTAAAAGAGCCAAGCCACACAGTTTGCTACAGATGAACCTTCCCCAACCTAACACCCACTGTAAAAATGAGAATCACAGCTTTTAAGATAACCAATCAGTTCATAACCAAGATAGTTAGATGTTTTGGGAGGTGGTAGTTTTAATATACACAGTGTGCATAATATACATTCCGCTGGAAAGACCCTCCAAATGGAAAAATATACAAGTAGCTTTTCTACCAGGAATATCAAGGGAATGCTCTTAAAGTCTCCACTTTATTATATATTATGGGACAGTCAGTTAAAACAGGGGTGTCAAACTCCAGGCCCATGGGCCAAATGTAGCCCATGGGGTGCTTAGATCTGGCCCACAGGTTTGCCCTGGAAAAAGCAAAGGACCGGCCCATGGTGCCTCTGCCCTCAAAAATGGAGGTCATGAGGGCTGCGGGTGGCCCTCCTGAGGTCTGTTTTCACTGGCAGTGTTCAGGTTGCCACACGACACAAGTGACATCGAGCTGGCCACACCCACCCCGGGCCCCTAAGGTCAAACACAACCCTGTTCTGGTCCACAGTGAAATTGAGTTTGACACCCCTGCACTAAGAGATCACTGGATTTAAATCAAACAGATTTCCTAAGGGGAAAAGCCCATACTTCCTGAAGCTAGGGTAGGAATATAACTTGTCTTTGACTTACAACCACAATTGAACCCAAACTGTTTGTTGCTAAGCAGGGCAGTTGCTAAATGAGTTTTGCCCCATTTTACCATCTTTCTTGCCACGATTGTTAAGTTAGTGACATGGCTGTCAAGTGAAGCTGACTCCCTCATTGACTTTGCTTGTCAGAAGGTTGCAAAAGGTGATCACATGGCAGTTGCGAAGCATCAGAATTTTGATCATGTAACTTGTGGGGATGCTGCAATGATCGTAAGATTGAAAAATGGTCATAAGTAACTTTTTTCAGGGCTGTAACTTCAAATGGTCATTAAATGAATGGCTGTAAGTCAAGGAATACCCGTGTTCTGCTCAATTCTTGTAACGCACAAGATTTTTCTTTCCATCTCTTAGCACAATTCATAGGAAATAGCAATCTGAGGGAGTCTTCTTTCCCATTTAGGATTACTTTCTTAATATAGTAGTTTCACAACTCTACCAAGCTATGCTTTCTTGGACTTGGTACGATGTAGTCCTTGACTTACGGCCACAAATGAGCCCAAAATTTCTGTCGCTAAGTGAGACATTTGTTAAATGAGTCCTGCCTCATTTTACGACCTTTCTTGCCACAGTTAAGTGAATCATTGTGGTTGTTAAGTTAGTCACACGATTGTTAAGTGAATCTGCTTTCCTGTCGACTTTGCTTGTCAGGTCACAAAAAGTGATCACATGACCTGGGACACTGCAACCATCATAAATATGAGTCTGTTGGCAAGCATCTGGATTTTGGTCACATGACATGTAGACGCTGCAACGATCGTAAGTGTAAAAAATGGTCATAAGTCAGTTTATTCAGTGCTGTTGCAACTTCGAATGGTCACTAAACGAACTGTTGTAAGACGAGGACTACCTGTACAAACTAGTTTTATAATCTGGGAAATTAAAAAAAACAAAGTACCTGAAATGTAACACATCCCACAGGGAGATATTTCCGATCCTCCAGCATGCTTAGATATTCAGCCACCAGAGCTGCAGAGTGAACCAAACACTGTGCTGATTCGGCGTGGTTATTTCTGGCGGAGTGTTTTCCAGCCATGTTCTGCAGCCAGGTCAGTCGTAGATCTGGGGAATTCTGATATCCTTTTGCAATTCTAGTTTTTGAAAAGCCAGAAGGTTCATGTTAATGTGTATTTCTTTGCCTGTATTTTCTGAAAGAGAGGCAAACTCCATAAATCCTACCTGTACATCAAGTCAATTAGCATTTCTGGATCTTCCTGGTGTTCCTTCATTTTAACTGTATCCGAGAGGATCATATGGAGATTGAACACAAGATCTTGCACCTGAAAATATGCAACATGAAAAAAATAAATATACATTTGTTTATATACGTATATTAATCTGTTAATGTATCATTCACTTATTGCTCAAAGCCTGGTAACAAACTTTGACAGAACTAAAAAGATTCATTAACCAGTTTAGTCTGGTTTAGAATTACTTGTCTTATTCAATTTTTGTATTGTCATTCATTGTATCAGGTTTCTACTGAGCCCAAAATCATCATTCCCCCTGCCCCGTATAAACTACTAATGCTAGGGGGTGGGGGGGACATCAACATTTTGCAAATCACATTTGCAATATAAATTAAAAAGTGAATTTGAATTTCAACCAATTTTGAAAGTGATGTTTATATCCAAACCACAACCTGGGTCAATACACCATTTAATTTTAACTTCAACTATCTGTGCTGACTTCCAGGAATTTTATTTTACATTTTCTGCCACCTCCAAATATTTACTTCACATTTTTGCATCAATAACTCTTCTAAGATTCTGCGTCAATTAGACCTTCTGAGAATGAACACATATTATGTTCACAGAAAAAGACTGTTGGCTTACCCGAACAGTCGTTCTCAGGGCGCTGCGAGGAGAGTTCAAGCGTGGATTAACACAATCTATCTGCCCTAGGATTGAGTGAGTTTTTTCTCTTGGCCACGCCTCCCTTTGCCTCCATTTTGCAGTTTAAAAAAACGAAATTCGCATTGAGCAGGAAGCCCGTTCAACAGTCATAGCCAGTCATCATCCTCGAGGCTGTAGGAACCCCAGGCAGGATTGGACTCTCCTTGCAGTGCCTTGAGAATGACCGTTCAGGTAAGCCAATGGTCTTTCTCCAGTGCGCTAAAGGGGGGAGTCAGGGTAACCCCAGGAGGCATCAGGTGAGTCACCCCCAGACCTTCCTTCTATCAGGGATGGGGATCTGCTGCCCTGGGAGGAACGGGTGTCCCAACCTCCCCCATGACACATGGGCGAGTCCAATTCTTGGCCCACAGGCTAGGGCAACCCGTGAGATCGCGGGGCCTTGGCTTCAATGGGACCCAAATGCCGGGAATCCTCCCTGGTCCTATCTACAGTACCAGGGGACCCAGGGGAGGCCTTCTTATTGGTGCCCTTCCTCCTTTACTTCCCTTAGATGGAAGTCCCTGCCTGCTCCTCCTGTGCCTCCCTGCCGCCTTCTGCCATGGTTTCCTGGGCAGTCTTGACGAAACGGTGCAGCAGCTGGGCACCGGGCAATTAGCCAGCCGGCTGAAGCATGCCCGCAGACCAAAGGGAAGGAGAGGGCCGCCCGAGGGCCAGATTCCCTCCTTCAGCCGCCCTCGGAGGCTTCCAAGAGATGGGCAGTAGGAAGGCAGGCCTGGCCAGCGCCCCAGACAAGGCCTGCGATCCTAGGCGGCGGTCTGAAGTTGAAGGGCTAAAGGATGATCCACTCTTCGCTCCAACGATGCTCAAAATGGCGGCCGCTGCGCGCGCAGCCAAAAGAAAAGCACGTGAAACTACCAAAATGGCCATCGCCTCTGCCGGGCTAGAAGAGCACCATCGCCCTCGCTGGAACTCTCAGGCACCCCGCACGACTTTTGTGATGGACCGGTGGGGAACGGCACCGACAGGAAGCCTCCCATCGTCCCCTCACCTGCCGGACACTGCCAGACAGGTGACTCACGCTCCCCCCCCCCGCATGTGACCAGCGGGCAGAGAACGACCCCGAGCCCCTTCAGCAGGAGAAATTTACCTTGAATCATAAGAGTACCAAACGGAAAAAACTAGGCATACAAATTCAAACTAAGGCAAACTAAGAAAAACGAATACAAACAAAAAATAAATCTGGGGAGTCCAGTTATCTGCTCTAGGACTGGAGCACTCCCCAGAACAGTCCTAACGGGCGGACTGAGTTTTTTAAATTGAAGAATGGAGGCAAAGGGAGGTGTGGCCAAGAGAAAAAACTCACTTAGTCACGCTTGGACTCTCCAAGCAGCGCACTGGAGAAAATACTTGTTTTTTTCACCAAATCTAAAAGCACGTAGACTGAAAATTGAGCATTTCCATAGTCTGTGAAGGGCAGCTTTGATTTGTCTGAACAAGTTGCTTCATAGTGCGTTTACCTTATCAAAGCAAACAGACAATCTGATTACCATTAATAAGCTGCTTTGCATAATTTCCTACAGCCCAGCAATTGCAAAAGCTTAAAAAAATGCCTGCACATGCACAGAAAGTACTTATTCTAACTGTTGTATGTATCAGAGGGCCTGTAGAACTGGTATTGGAGTGAGCTACATTGTGATTTAAAGCAAGCATGAAGTAGCTTTAGGGTTCTTTACTTACAATTTTGTCAAAGCACCAAGCTCTTAAATATTGATACAAGATGTCTCTAAGGAATTAAATACACTTATAGATAGTCCTCACTTAATAACAGTCACTTCAAGAGTGAGATGGGTGGCAAATAAATTTAATAAATGAAACAAATAATCACAATTGACTCTGATATTTTGGTCTTCAGTTGTTGTGATTGTTAATGGCTCAATTTTATGATTGATTTTACTAAGGTCATAAACTGAATCACTGTGTTTGTTCAATGACTCATATGGTTGTTAAGTGAACCAGATGATCGTTAAGTGAATCCATTCACCCTGAAGGGCATATTTTGACTGAAAACCAGCAAGAAACATCCCAAGTAGCTGTGATATGACTGCAGGATGCTGCGATTGGTCATAAATGCAAGCTGGCTGCCAAGTCCACCAATGCAATCACATGGCCACAGGGGTGGGATCTGTGTAGCACACACAACTTTGAGGATGTTATTAAGTAATTTTTTGGGAGTCGGTCATAACTTTGAATGGTCATTAAGCAAAGGTGACTTGTACTTTTCCCTGCTGAGTGATCATTTTCTCTAACCTGATCAGGGAAGGTTGTCTCCTTCAATTCCAGATCCTCTTCAGCATAAGTCAAAATGGTCTTCAGAGAACGTCTCAGAAATTCTTCATTAAAATTTTGAGATGTTCCCACCAGAGATGAGAGTGACATAGTTACCTGCATTTTCACTCTAGCAAAGTTCTGAAACAGACAAATTACCGCTAAGTCATTAATCTGTTAATAAGAATAGTTTCTCAAAAATAAAAGCTTCATAAATTTCATAACCCCCAAAAAGAAAATAATCCTGTTAGAGGCCTTGTCTGAACCAAAGTCCCCCAACACTCTTTCTCCTAGTACCCCATGTTCTCTAAGACTGAACTATTAAATTTGGTGACAGTAGGCAAATGAAAGTGTAGGAAGTTAAAACCCAGCCCTCTCCTAGAAAAATGAAATATTTTAGGAAATATTAAAACAGCAGAATATTTCCCCTAAAAGAAGAAATAGAAACTCAGAGAGGCAGAAATTCTGCTCCCCACTTGTGTCAATGGGCCATTAAGGCCTGAGCCAGCCTTGAAGCTAGCTTCAAAACCTCCCTATCCCATGGCTGGGGAGAATAGCTGGGATTTGGAATATCATCAGGGTGGGAGCTATATAGGCAGGGGGATGATATTTCAGAGAGGAGGCACTGTGACAGAGAAGGCAGGAGATTTTTCAGAGTATAAGATGCACTCTCCCCGCCCCCACAAAAAAGAGGCTGAAAATTTGGGTGCTTCTTATACTCTGGATGTAGCTTTTTTGAAGCTTACCAGGTAAAGCTATCTTCTGTGCTTTGCCTGCTTTTCTCATTGCTACTCTCTCCAATCAGCTGTGCTTTCGAAGCTGTTTTTCAGCCCTAACGAGGCGCTAACGAGTGAAGCGATCTTCTGTGCTTTGCCTGCTTTTCTCATTGCTTCTCTCTCTGATGATCAGCTGTGCTTTAGAAGCTGTTTTTATCACCAACCAGGGGATAAAAAGTACACGCACATGTGCTCAAAACCAGGAAACCTACATTATGTGCTGAAGCTGACCAAACTAAGGAAGCTAGCCAGATGAATACCTGGTAGGTAATTTTTTTTCCCTATTTTCCTCATCAAAAACTAAGGTGTGTCTTATACTCTGGTGCATCTTATACTCCGAAAAATATGGTACTTGATATTCATTAAGTCTAATAAAAGCCTTTTGATCAGCACAAGGCTACCGAAATTCTCATTTTAGAGGAGATGTCCCTCCTTCCATAATTCCAAACATCCCACAATTTAGATCAGGGGTCCCCTATTCAGAACCAGGCCACGAATGCTGGGCCAGTGAGTGGTGGGCCACTCACATGCACCCGCAATGCAACTTGTATAATTTGAGCTGCAGACATGCACATTGGTCCACCACTTGCGCAGCCCGGTTCCCCTCTCCCCCCACACAGCCAGGCGGCCAAGCCGCAAAGATTGGGGACCGCTGATTTAGATAATCTGTGTGCTTTCAGAAATAATGTACTTACATTCCCAATCTCAAAGTTTTGCCTCATGAGGAGATAAAGAGAGGCACTGGCGTGGGACCGAATCGTGCTAATGCTACTGCTGCAGTGGCGCAGGAGTCGAAGGCATAGATCGGCACATTGCTCAGTCTCTTCTTCAAACAGCAGTTCTGGGAACTAAAATGGCAGGATAAGAGGCACATCGTTCAAAAAAAGCTAGAAACAATGAGCGCTGCAAATGTCAAGATGATTCTACTTTATTTGCACTATAATGCTAATTATCTGCTCTCATCTTTCCTGGGATCACCTGCTCACCAGTCCAAGTAAAGCAAGCCTTCAGTTGTGTTTTGCTAGCAGAAACTATGGAAGCAAAGCTGTCCCGGGTGCAAAGTAAACTCATTCAAGAGTGACATGGAATAGTAACTTACTTTGAGCTATTGAATTTAGATTAGTCAGTCTCAGTTCCAAAATTAAATAAAACCTCCTCACTCGGTACTCTATTTTCAAAACACTCACCTTTGAGACTAAAGCTCTTTGAGTAGCAAAGCAATGCTGGAGATAAAGAGCACTTTGATTGCAGGCCATGCTATGTAGAAGAGCCTTCAGTACCCCACCAAGAATACTTTCCTTGGATTCAGTCACCGAAACAGTCTGTAGCCAAAGACAACAGGGCATCAGAAGCAGTCAAAAAATCATTTTAAAGTGAAGTGTGGTAAATGCACAATGAAAAGCTAATCCTCATTCTGAGGCGTCTGTAGCCCAGTCACAAGGGCTGAAATGGGCCTATCATTCTCAAAGAGCCGTTATGAGAAATACTAAGCATACTCAGGGAAATAAAACTAGCCCTATGCATTCTGAAGCATATGCTGAAGAGGACTAAAGCAGATCTTCAACAACACGCAAACTCATCCCTCAGAGCAGTGTTAGACTAATTGAGGAATTCTGGGAGTTGCAGTCCATGCATCTTAAACTTGCCGAGTTTGAGAAAACACTGCCCCAGAGGCTAAAAAACTGAGAAGCCTGATGATTAAAAACACAAAATATTATATTCTACAGCAAGAAGGGAGAGAATATTGATACGTTTTTAATCTTATGTGTATTTTCTTGAGAAGAATTCCCAACAATATGGAAATATTTGGCTAATAAATATAAATTGCGGAATTGTTATTTACAAGGAAGCAAACTGATAAAACAAATGAATAATAAAAACAGAAAAAAATTCATCAAACTTCCTTTCAATTTATGTTCAATCATTTCTTAGCCTGTTGGGCCTGAGACTCTCATACATGAGAACCGTTGCAATCCTGCCAGATTGGAAGGATTATAAAAATATAAAACAATAATTGACCTATCACTATTCATTCAAAGTTATGATGGCACTGAATGAATGGTCCTCAGAGTCCTCAGAGTTCCCATTGTCCCAGCACATTACACATATCCCGATCAAGTGACCGCAGTCTGGGAGCTTGGCACACTTGCAACCAGTTACAGTGCTTCGCAATAATAATTGATATTTGCCATATTCTCTGTTGACTTCTCCAGAAATTCAGTGGGAAAACTGGCAGGGAACCCCACAAGGCACTGGGGTAAGTCTCCCACACCAGTTCTTCTACACTTGTTTTGCACCAGCTATCCACATATCCCCTCGCACCCAGCTCATGACACATCACTCTCTTGCTCTCTCCTTAACCTATGCTGTGCCTCTTCCACATACCCATACACTGTTGCACAAATTTACTAATCCACACCATGGGTCTGAATAATATTAACCTATGGCAGTGATGGCTAACCTTTTCTGGAGTGAGTACCCCCAAAATACAATTTGTGAGTCTCCTGTGCATGTGCACGTGGAAATTATATTTCACTATTGGTTGCAGATAAAGGAAGGGACTTTTACCTACTGGTATAATGAACATGGTGGAGCATAAGGTCTTCATGAATCTATGTGACAGAAGACTGTCTCACTGGCCTTGGCAAGATGCCCCATAAGTCTGAACCTTCATAAACCAGGACAAGAAATTTACTCCCATCAACTGGACCCAAGTAATGTTTCCCTCTTAGTTGCTTATGTAACAGATCTTCCCCTTTGCCACCAAGGTAGTCCTCTTTACTCTTTAGGTTTGCATGGAAGATGAAACTCTCATATTTCTGTGGTTGCTTAAGAAACGTAGCTTTCCTAGTAGCAAGTTAGTATCAATGATTGGCTTATCTACAAAGCTAGCTGTGATGTCGATCGATTTGCAATATGCTTTTGTAGGAGGTATTCTGAAATATTATTTTTTGTACGGTACAGAAAAACAATACATGTTGCATTCAGGTCATTAGAAATTATGTCAAATATTCCTTAGCATCCTCACCTGCACAATTATCTCTAAAGTATCCAATATGATGAGATTGGCTTCTGTTGCCAAGTTACCATCAATAAGTGCTTCATGTTCAATCTCTGCCCGGGACCTGGTAGAAATAAAATAAACACTAAAAATCTATGTTCCTTCAAGACAAAAAATAAAGGAAAGCAAATGTCAATCTGCTTGGAAAATAGCATGCCTCCTACAATATAAAAATAGTTCAAAATAGGAGAAAATAAAACAACTAATCTATTTCTTGTTGTCTTTATGCAGTTTTTAAATCGTGCATGGTATTTCAAGATGCTGTAGAACAACTGCATCTCCAAGGAGTAAAATTGGGCTAGATGGACCAATAATCTAGCTATTTTGAAGAAACATTTTTTCTGGCAAATACAAATAAAATACAGGCAAATGTGTACACACAGAGATGAAAAAAGACAAATTATTGGCTTAAATGGATAATGGCCAACCTAAATGGGATAATATTTTAACTGAAATGGAACCAGAAAGCTGACGTGTTTCCACAGTGGAAGCAATCTTTTTGCTGCACCTGTTAATAGGTTTTTACATAATTACAGTATAATTTAGGTTTTCCTTAATCCACTATTCTTTCAAATGTTGCTTTGGAAACAACCCAGTTACAGCTTCACGGAATTGTTTTTGCAACCGCTTCTGATGTTATTGGGACTGTTAAAACATTCCCAGACTTTGTTTTTAAAGCACAAGGATGATTATTTTATATTCCTCATCCAACCATGCCTTATATAGTGATGTTTTTCTTTTAGTTTTCCTACTACGTCAAAAGACTAAATGATATCCACTGTTTCTTTATCTGAAAAGAATGTTTAAAAGTGTAACCATTATGTCAATACAATTTTAAGTCTTTTTAAAGATCAACAAAACCCCCAACAAGTTATTTGTAACAGTGAAAATGGTTTTCCATATTTCAAAATGTGAACACAGGGTGGTGCTGTGTGAATAAGTGTCTTTCTAAAACATCTGGGTAGTAAAAATGGAAATGTACATCTGGCAGGTATCTTTGTTTTGCTATCCTATTCTTAAATGATGCCTGTTTTTAAAAATCTGATAATGATTCCTCACAAATAGTATATCACATTGCTCCAAACAAGTTGCAACTCGTTTGGAGCAGTATGATATACTGTTGTCTGTGGAATGTCAATGCTAAACAGCTCAGAAGAAAAGCAGGGTAAAGTGGAGGCTGCCTTCTATTGCTCTTATGAAACTACAGCCATTGCTGAGAATTCTGGAAGTTGAAGATCACATATCTGGAAACTATCAAGACTCAAATCCACATCGACATGAACCTTGTTCAGATATTACAGCATTCCTTTTGGGTGGCTCTGCAATACTTTTTTGTGTGTTTGGCTTTAAAATTAATGTTTCTGTGGTCAAGAAAATTGTTTTCAGAAATTAGTTGGTAACTCGGGTTCTAAATATATTGTGATCACTCACTTTTAAAATCTCCTTTAACTCAATTATTCTGGGGCAGAGAAAGAAGAGCTGATTTCCTTACCCGCTGTGTCTTTCTCGAGTTTTCACGCATAACAGATTGTTTTAATCTCCATCTACCACTTTTAACTGCTGCAAGATTTACCCAGATCATGGCAACAGATTTATTAATTAGTCTATAGCATAAATATTGTTCCAGCAGAAAAATACATTTCTTATAAATAAATATGTCCTATGACATCATACAATCCTTGTGGAATATCCTCAGAGCTAATTTAGCCCTTGGCACAGTAGTAGATTCCCCCACTGGTAGTGGTCTATGGCAGGGCCCCTGGGCTCTCTTGTCAATTTTTTCCAGAATCTCATCTACAGCAAATTACAAAGTATTAAAAGTTACAATTCATTTGGCATACAGAGCTGTTTATGACCCTTATCAGAGGTGTTAAGGGATTGCGAGACCATATGCTAGATGTGCAATAATCACATAAGAATACAGACATGCCTCGTGCTACAGAACAGGAAATTTTTTTGAAGCAGGATGTACGCACTCTCTTTTTATAGCCAAATTATTTCACAAAATAACTTCTGCAAAGCATCTCAGTCTACCAGGATCTGGGGATATAAAGCATGCCAGCCAGCCAGCCAGGCAAAGCTATACATTTTACAGCTAATTAACCCCAAGGTTTCAAATTCCAACAATTCCTGATATAACAATTACTGCAGTAACACACAGGCATATAAAACCTCTGCAAAGCATCAAAAAACACAGCTGCAATAACAAAATAGGCAAAGGTACAAAGTGACAACTGAAAAACAAAACAAAATAAAACCCATAGCAGGATACCAATGCTACAATACCTGATTGGTTTGTGGCTTCTAAAAATACAGCACATGTAGAAAAATAATTAAAGTCATGGATTAGGGTAGGAAAGAAGCAACTTTTAAACTCCAGAATACACTAATGGACTAAGTGATCGATGACATATATATTTCCTGCATGTACAATTTATGGCTCTTGGCTGTATCTAATAGGACCATGATGGCAAACCTATGGCACGCGGAGCCATTTGTCAGGGAACCCAAGGCGTTGCCCTGTCAGCTGGCCAGCGTGCATGTGTGTGCTGGCCAGCTGACTTCAGCCCTCCGGAGGCTTCCTTGAAGTCACTTCCGGTTTCCTCATAGGGTCGTTTTTTGCCCTCCGGAGCCTTCAGGGAAGCTTCCTGAAGGCCCCTGAAGCTCCGTAGGGCTACAACCGACCCTACAAGCAAACCAGAAGTCTGTTTCTGAACTTCTGGTTTGCCCGTAGGGTCAGTTTTTTGTGCTCCAAAGGCTTCAGGGAAACTCCTGAAGGGCCTCCAGAGGGGATGAGGGAGGCCCTTTTCGCCCTCCCCTGGCTCCTATAAAGCCTCTAGAGCCTGGGGAGGGCAAAAAAAGGATGCCAAAAATGGGAGGGAGCGCTGGATGTGCACACATGCGCACTGGGGTCATGCGTATAGCATTATGGGTGTGGCATGCCCACGCACGACCCCTCTGCGCTCCCCCCGCTTTTGGCATCACTGTAATAGGATGTAATATCAGTTTTTACTACAGCAAAGATTACTTTCTTATACTGGTAGTCCTCAACTTACAACAGTTTATTTATTGAGCACTTGAAGTTACAACATCATTGAAAAAAAAATGACTTATGACTGTTATTCACAGTTATGATCTTTGCAATATCCCCACGGTCATTTGATCAAAATTCAGACAATGTCAACTGACTCATATTTACATTTTTTTGATGGTCACACTGTCCCAAAGTCACGTGATCCCCTTTTGCGACCTTCTGACAAGCAAAATCAATGGGGAGCCAGATTCACTTAACAACCAGGTTACTACCTTAACAACCAGAATGATTCACTTAACAATTGTGGCAGGAAAGGTCATAAAATGGGGCAAAATTCACTTAACAGATGTCTTACTTAGCAACAATTTTGGGCTCAATTGTGGTCATAAGTCAAGGACTACTTGTAATAGTGTAACTTAATATAATCCAACTGAATATAATCTATTCAGAAGTCTCACTGAGTTCAACATCTTATTCCCAGATACATGGGAATAAAATTGCTTTAGACGTAGCTTGCATAGGCATCTAACCCCTTTCAAAGCCATAATGTGAGAAATCCTTGCTTAATCAGTATCTAAATCTGTCCATATTGTAGCCCACTAAACTTCAAAGGAGACAACAAAGTCTCCATGTACTCTAGGCCAGGTGCTCAATCTATTAACCTATTAGGAAAAGATGGCATTACTTGTCCAGTTTTTCAGTGTTCTGCCTCCAATGTGTCATGTCCTTTCGCCACCTCAGGTTCTCTTGACTTCCAAAAGCACTTCCAGAAGGACTTCTTTCTGCAGGGAATTGTAATATTTAATATGGGGCTATAAAGCAATTCAAAATAGGACAACTGACCCCATGCAAATCCTGTCACTCTAGCAGTTCGAAAGCATGCAAGTGTGAGTAGATAAGTAGGTACCACTTTGGTGGGAAGGTAATGTTTTGCTGGTCACATGGCCACAGAATGTCTTCAGACAAAGCTGAAGTTCCCTCGGCTAAGAAACAGAGAGGAGCATTGTCCCTTGAGAGTCAGACAGACTGGACAGGAGAAATCTTTACCTTTGCCAACCAATAATTAATTCTAGTAAATATTACTGTTCAGTTTCCCAGGTACAACTTAGTACAATGACGAGGACTTCCTCCATGACATAGGGAAAGGATTATCCATCCATCTATCATCCATCTATCTATCTATCTATCTATCTATCTATCTATCTATCTATCTATCTATCTATCTATCTATCGTGTGTGTGTGTTTGCGTGCATGTTTTGATCACGTGTAGATATTAACAAATGGACTTCAGCATTTTATGGCTCCCAGGCCGACATCCAACCCTTTGGCTGTCCCTGTCTGGCCCATGTGAATTGCTTTTATTTTGAAGGCAACTTTTTCTTTCAATTTATGTATATACATGCATGCAGACCTACATACCTTCACAGCCCTAGTGGTTCAGCCCAGCACAACCGTTCCCGTTTTTCACGTGGCCCCTTTGGAAAATTAATTGCCCACGCCTGGTTGTAAGAGATAATGCATGAATAGGAACACTTCTTCTTTAAACTATAAAAGAACTAGTCCACTCACCCAATTGTCCTCTGCTTCTTCGTACCATTTCTTGCCTGGCCCCAATGCTCCCAAGTATAGCTTCTTCAAGTTTGGCCCGCATATCTTTTGACTTCTTAAAAGTCAGACTATTCATTCTTTCAAACACTTTCTTTCCCTAGATGGTTCACAAAAGAATAAGAATATAAAAGCAGAACATTGTCTTTCTAAAGATTAGAGGTTCTTTCTAAAAATAAATATTAAAAAGATGGGAGGGCCTGTAAAATGCAAGCAATGTTAGAGGAGAAAGCAGAGTTGGCCTTGTTTCATCCAGAGCAGTGGTGGGTTGCAGGCAGTATGCCCCAGTATGGGCATACCGGAACCTGCCTGGAACACCGGATACCATTTCAGTATGGTACTCCGGAGGGCCCACCCACCCGAGCTCCTTATCTAATTTTAAGTCTTTGGCGCTTTCGTGCACGGCGCATAGAGCGCCTGCGCTCCACTCCACTGAGAGGAGCTCTGTTATCGGCTACAGAGGCCTTCAGGAAAGCCTTGCTTGCCTTGCCCAATGAAGAAGTTCCTGAAGGCCTCTGATAGCAAAAAAAAAAAAAAAAAGACTGGGGGCAATGAGCCTAAGTGAGGTGAGTCAGTGGACAACTCCCCACCCCAAAAAAGTAAGACTTGGTGCCTTTTTGGTGGCAAAAAAATATAAGACAGGGTCTTATTTTGGGGGAAACACAGTAGGCAGTGTTGATTTACCTTATATTCAAAGCAGGAAATGCAAAGATAAAGCAAATCCAACAAGCGATTGAGCTGCAACACAGAGAGATCTGTGAACCATTTCTGCAGAACACTTTCGTCAGCATTCTTCAGGACCCATAGGAGGCAGATCAAAAGGTTTCGACTGGAATCAGCTGAAAATGTTGAATGTTGCCTGCTGCCCTGGATTCAAAGATAGAACAGATCAAAACTATGGTTACCAGCTTGATCCTGAAATAAATCTAGTCTAACCAAAGAACATTGTTATGTGCTTTTGCAGATATCAAAAAAAGGGATGCAAGCTATTCAGATAGACCTAATGCCATCCTGCTTAGTATTAACTTATAAGGTGTAGAGAATCTACTAGACTCTGTATAAATGGGTCACAGTATCCATCCTCAGTGTGACTGTGGGGTCCCATGTCAAACTATACATCACATTGTGGCCAGCGATAAGCTGAGGGCATATACCAGTCAAGTAACTGATTTCTTTTTAAAAAATATAAATGATGCTGAGATTCAATGCTGGGATAGCCTAGACATTGGTGTTTGAACATAGATGTTTTTAACATTTATATTATATTATGTTTTACTAATCTAGGTGAAATTTTAATATATACTGCTAATCCATGGATACGTGTTTTGACAAGTTTCAAAATGGGAAGAAAAATGTTATAGCCCCAAAGGTGCATTTTTCAAAAGGCAACTGGACTTTGTTTTTCCCTGAAGATATTTCGCTTCTCATCCAAGAAGCTCCTTTAGTTCTGAAGTGAAACATTTTCAAGGAAAAACAAAGAGAATTAAGTCCAGTTGCCTTTTGAAAAAAAGTACATTTGGGAGAGTCATAACCTGGATAATTGAAAATCTCCATAGTTATATTTTAAAACACTATAGTATCGCATTATTGTGCTATACTTTCCCAAAGAACCAAAACAATCATATTCCAGTATTATCATCTTCCCCTAGTCATTCTTTAGTTTCCATGAAATATGTAAGAATATTGGCATCATTTCATGACATGGCTTTCACCCAGTCTTGTTGTTTCATGAATGCAGATTCCCAAATATTTATTTGTACATAGGTCTATTGAAAGATGATGTTTTTGTACCGTTGATGTGAGGAGAAAACTGGTAGGCCGCGTGAGCTGTGGGACAGGGGTTCCTGCAATGGCCATAGCAACTGTCTGACTGATCATGTTCCCACCCTCACTTTCACAATCCTCCACTGCGACACAGCTTGGTCTTCCACGCTGGTTATGACTTTCTGTAGCAAAACAGCCCAATTTCAATGAAATGAAACATTAATGCGGTTGCTTTAATACACTTAATAGCAAAGCACAGACACTTAATAGCAAAACACAGAAAAGTTTTTGCATTAGATGGCATATAAATAACCCTCAGGATCCCAATCAGAAAGGTTCATTTTAGCCATCTAGTCTAATTCAAATTAAAATAAACCCATCCTAATAATTTCTAACATTACAGCAGAATTTGTACTTAAAAGCAGTAAGGAGGGACCTGCACTCTGGGAGGGCAGCAATAGGTATTAGCCTTTGGTGACACATCCTTTCAGGTATTTGAGGATTCTAGAATGTTTAAGTAATCATTTTTAAATGGATGAAAGAATGATGTCACTTTTTTTTTTTATTTGTCCAATTTATGTAACTCCCCATCACACAAGTGACTCTAGTAGGTCTTTGCTTGTCAGAAGATCACAAAAGGTGATCACATGATCCTGGAAAACTGCAACAGTCATAAATAGATGCCAGTTGCCAAGTGTCTGTATTTTGATCATCCTGAGGATGTTGCAAGTTCATGAGTATAAGAAACTGATCATGTCACTTTTTTTTCAGTACCTTTGTAACTTTGAACAGTCACTAAACAAGGGCGTATAAGTCAAGGACTACCTATACACCATACATTCATTTCCTATTCTGCAGGTAATCCTTGATTTGCAATAGTTCATTTAGTGACTGTTCAAAATTACAACGGCGCTGAAAAAAAGTGTTTCATGATCGTATTTCATGCTTATGACCAGCATTCTCATGGTCACATGATCAAAATTCAGACGCTTGGCAACTGAATCATACTTATGAGCCTTGCAGGGTCCCAAGGTTATGTGATCCCCTTTTGAAACTTTCTGACAAGTAGTCAATGGGGAACCGAAATTCACTTAATAACTCGGTTACTAACTTACCTACTGCAATGATTCACTGTGTGTTTGATGTGGAATTGCAAAGGCAAATAGACATTTCAAGCACACATTCAAGCTTTTGGATGCAGTTTAGAAACTCTTTAAAAAAACACAATTTGCTGCTTTAACTAAATGCAGTATTCAGGTAGCAGTGCAGTTAATGGGTTAGCATACCAAATACCTGTGAAATCATACAGCTGGGGCACACTCTCCATGATCACTCCAATCAGAGGCAAGTATAGAGTAGCCACCCTGGCCTTTACTTGTGGGTCAGAGTACCGTGGGTCGGAGTCATGGCTAGATAGCAAATTGTGTACCATGTTGATGACTTTCTTATGCAATCCAAACAAACTGTTTATTTAAAAAAAGAGACAGTAGGATGAGTTAATAGTTTTAGAGCAGCTATGGATGGTAAACACACATATATGCACACTCACAAATTTGACTTTCAATTATATCCCTTATTTTATGATTTTTTTCAATTTCACCTTACCCTTTATTTAGCTAATCTGAAACAATGTTGCAAAAATATTGCAGAATTAGAATTAACCTGTTAAACCAGAATATGCAAAATAAGCTAATATTAGCCACTTGATTCTGCATCTTTAGCTCCAGACACAAAATGTAGACAGTGGTTAATATATAAACTGAATTGCAGATAAATTATTATTTTTATGATGCACATTTATGAAAAAGGAGAGAAAAAGAAGGTACACAAACAAAAAATGAAAAAGAAGGGAAAGAGGGGAGGAGCATAAAATGCACAAATAATTTATAAACATCATTAGAATTTTTAAAATTTTTTCAATGTTTCCTTAATTTAAATAACCAAATGCACTCCATCATTTTAAAAGTACTAATCATTACTAAAATATTATACAAATATTAAATGCAACAGTCAACATGGTATATAAGTCATAAAATAAGATTAAGAATTACAGGAATTTCTATCTAAGCAATTAAGACTTTATACTAAGAGAAACTCACATCTCAGACATGGAAGAAGCCCATATATGGAATTAAAATTCAAAAATATTTCTAAGTTGATTACATTGTGTTTCAGATTTATTTTTGAAATACAAAGTTAATTCAGACACCAAGGCATACACCAAGAACTTAAGTAGACATTCTTCTGCAGATTAAATGAGTATACTGCATTTTTTAGAGTGTAAGACACACTTCTTTCCCCCCTAAAAGAGGGTGAAAAATTAGGTGTGTCTTATACACTGAATGTAGCCCTGCCCACTCGTTGGCCCCCACCCTTCGGCCTCTGCGCATTGCGTTTTAGACTTGTTCTAGGCTGCAGGGATTGCCACAGATTTCCCCTCCCCCAGTGCCTTGTGTTTTTGGCTTCTGCACCTCATGCTTTCAGCTCCAAACTCTCTATTTCAGACCCGTTCAAGGCTGTGGGTATCATCCAAGCACATCACCACCAATCGCCACCTCCACACATCGCGTTTTCAGCCTCACAACTAGCGAACCTGTTGCTAAAGTTCACCACTGGGAACAGCTGATTGGGGGGTATTCCAGGAGGCCGATCCACCTGCCAATCAGCTGCTCTTGCTAAATCAGGATAATGTGCTAAAGCTGACCAGGTTGTTTGCTAAGGACGCTAGCCAGATGAATACGTATGGATGCTGGTAGGCAGAGGCAGAATTTTTTTCTTCTTACATTCCGCAAAACGTCAGTTGGTCTTACTTGAACTACATGTTTTGAAGTTGGCGTGGGAGTAGTCACACATGGGTATTAACACAGCCCTTTTGCCCTGGAGACTGAGGTAAATATTGAGGCCACATCTCCATTCCTCCACTGACCTCCCAGATTAATCAATGGTTCGTAGCAGAGCACCTGGAAGGAAGAGACAGAGACAGCACATGCACACATCCTGCCTGCCTGGCCCTGACCACTGAACTAACTCAGGCCCCTGGCGTGGTGCACCCTAACGGGGGAAAGTGACTACTCCCATACCAACTTCGAAACATGCAGTTCAGGTAAGACCAACTGACAAGTTTCCAAAGTGAGGCGTGGGAGGAGTCACACATGGGACATACCAAAGCTAGATGTCCTTGGGAGGGATCAATGGGCCTGAGCCCCTCGAGAGTCTAAGACTCCCTGAAGAACCCTCCTCCCAAAGGCCGCTTCCGCTGAGGCGTAAGCGTCTAGCTGGTAATGCCTGATGAAAGGCGAGGGAGAGGACCAGGTGGCAGCCCTGCAAATCTCTTCTATGGGAGCCTGGGTGGCCTAGGCTGCTGAGGTGGCTGCACTTCTCGTGGAGTGCGCTGTGATGCCCTCTGGGACCTGCAGTCCCCGTGCCTCGTACACCTTTGAAATGGCCGCTCTGATCCACCTGCTAATGGTGGTCAATGAAACCTTGGCTCCCCGGGTAGACACCTGAAAGAAAACGAAGAGGGCCTCTGAATGCCTAAAGGGCAGCGAGCGCTTCAGATAGATGCGCAGGGCTCTTCTAACGTCCAACCGGTGCCAAGATCTTTCCCTATCCCTGGAGGGCTGCGGACAGAAGGGTTCGAAACATGACCCCGTCAATGCCTGGAGGATCGTAGGCAGGTCCCAGGTAAGGAATCAATGGACCACTGGGGATTTCAGATTCGCCGCTCCCTTAAGGAAGCTCCTTAGGACCAGATGTTGAGACAAAGGCGGTGAATCCACCACCACCCCCAGGACCATGGAGAGAGCAGAGACTTGTCTCCTAAGGGTGCTGGGGCCAGACCTTTCTCCAGACCTTCCTGTAGGAAATCCAGAACTTGGGGTACAGAAGCCGCAGCTGGAACAATGTCCCTAGCTTGACACCAGTCCACGAAAGTGACCTAGGTGGCGTTGTAGATGCGAGTGGTGGACTGCCTCCTGGACACCTCGATGGTCTTAATGACCTTCGCGGAGAAATGGGCCTCTCTTAGTTGTTCCCGCTCAATCACCAGGTGGTCAGATGGATCCACTCCGGGTCCGGATGCTCCAGAAACCTCTGGTGCAGGGACACCTCCCCTGGGGGGATCCTCCAGTGGGGAGCTGAGGACAGCTCCACCAGGTCTGCTAACCAGGGACGAAGTGGCCAGAAGGGAGCCATTAGTATCATCTCTGCTCCCTCTGACACTAGCTTCCTCAGAATCCCAGGGATGAGTGGAAGGGGAGGAAAAACGTAGAGAAGACCTGGTGGCCATTTGCAGCGAAGGGTGTCCGTGTCCATGGCTCCCCTGGATGGGAACCTCGATACAAAGCTCGGTAGCTGGGCGTTCGCTGGGGTTGTGAAGAGATCGGGCGCCCGAACCTTTCGCAGATCTGCCGGAAGATGCTGGGATGGAGCTGCCACTCTCTGTTGTCAACCGTCTCCCTGCTGAGCCAATCCGCTTGCTGGTTCTCTGTCCCGGAGATGTGTTCCACTCTGATGGACTGGAGATGCCTCTCTGCCCAGTTCCCCAATTGGAGGGCCCCAGCGCGAAGGGCCTTGGAATGAGTGCCCCCTTACCTGTTCACGTGGGCCTTGGCTGCCACGTTGTCCATTAGGACCAGGACATGGTGACCGGTCATCGTGGTCTTGAAGTGTCATAGGGCCAGGTGGATGGCCCTGAGCTCCAACCAGTTTATGTTGTGGCGTAGATCTGTTAGAGTCCAGCGGCCCTGGGCTATCTGAGCTTCCAGGTGTGCTCCCCAGCCGAATAGGCTCGCGTCCGTC